TGAATTGTTGAATGTGAAACTGATGATGTGCCCTGTAAACTTTCACTCAATCCACAATAAAAACCTTAAATTAAAAAAAAAAAAATGAATAGGCAAGAAAATATGATATTACTGTATCTGACAAATGACTTGTAACAATTTTTAAAAACTTCTACCCCCCAAAACCCTCTCTTTTAAAAAATGAACAGAGAGCTTTGATCAGGCACTTCCCAAAGGTCAGCTCTACAGGTGATCTACAGGTGACCCACAAACTGATGAAAAGATTACTTACTAGTCATCAGGGAGCTGCAGATGGCAACCACAAGGGTATTCGTGTACATACCGAGTGGAATCCATGAGTCCAGGACTAAGCACAACCAATGTCAGTGAAGATGTGGCCAACGCTGCCTCAGACACTGCTGGCAGAGGGATACAATAGAAGCACCATTTATACCCCTTGAAAGCCAGTACTCATCAAGTTAAATAAACCCTAAGACCCAGTCACTCCTCAACACCTAGCCAAGGAAAAGCAAAATCTATGTCCACACAAAAACATGTATAACAAGCCAAATGTGAATATCCAGCTACAAGAGAATGGATAAACAAACTGAAGTGTATTCATAGAATCAAATTCTACTTGGCATTGAAAAGGAATGAACGATTGATACACACAACAACCAGAACCTCAAACCATGTCGGGCAAAAGAAACCAGACCAGAGTAGTACATACAGTACGTTTTCCATGGGATTTTAGGATATGTAGCGCTGATCTATGATGACAGAAGTGAGAACAGGGCTTGCCTCCAGGAGGCAGTGAAGGATGGGCTGGAGGGATCTTAAGGGATCTTACTGGAATGGTGGATATGTTGTATGTCTGGATAAAGATGTTAGCTACATGTTGTTGTTAGGTGTCATCAAATCAGTTCCAACTCATAGTGACCCTATGTACATACAATAGAAGGAAACACTGCCTGGTCCCATGGCAGTGTTATGTTTAAGCCCATCACTGCAACTACTGTTTCAGTCCATCTCCTTGAGACTTTGCCTCCTTTTTGTTGACCCTCTCCTTTGCCAAGCATGCCGTCCTTCTCCAGGGACTGGTCCCTCTGATTCCTTGTCATTTATCAACCCATCACTTAAGATCTGAACCCTTCACTGTATTTAAAAGTAAACTTCAGTATCCCCGCCAAAAGTCATTTGTACAGATTTCCTGACACTCGTCAGGTCCTTCTGCTGTTCTCTTTGTATACTGTAGGAATAGTTTAGTCTAACTTTATTATTTTTAGAATGAAATTCAACTGTGATTTCTTCTATAGGAAGTAACCTTTCACTTAGTATTTCGTGAGTTTAGTGATTCAGCCTGTGGCTTTTGGCAACAAATGTTATCATTCATGCTTGACCGTATCAGTTATTTACCCTAGTTTTACTCCTTTGTCACCTACTCCCATCCCAAACCACTTATAATACACATTACCCTCATATCAACCACAACTCTTACCTACATAGATATGCCACATAAAGTATAACCATGCCCTCAAAAGTACACGTACATGCATGCACTAACCTGTGGCCTTCTGCGTCCCTTTTAATGTCTACATACAGATATTCATATATAGTTTTTTTTATCCTACTCTTGACTGATTTATCACACACACGTATTCCTTCCAGAGTGGGGGAAAGAGTAGATGAATAGGTATTTGTAAAATAAAGTCTTGAAAGTTGCCCTAGATTCAGCTGTTGACCATGTGTGATGCTTTGGGATAATGCACTGGACTGTACAGGGTTTCCAAGGCTGTACATCTTTACCGGAGCAGAAAGGCTCATCCTCTCCTGCCAGTCTCAAACATTTTGGTCCCAGGCCCCTTTTATATTTCAAAGATTTTTGTGGCTCTCAAAAAAGCTTTCTTTGTAGGGATTGTATCTATCACTGTTGCTGATAGGTGCTATCAAGTAGGTTCCAACTCATAATGACCCCACGTCCAGCAGAATGAAACACTGCCCAGTCCTGCGCTGTCCTCACAATTGTTAAACGTTTGAGTTCATTGTTGCAGCCACTGTATCAGCCCATCTCCTTGGGGGTCTTTCTCTTTTTCGATGGCCCTCCACTTTACCAAGCATTGAGTCCTTTTCCAGGGACTGGTCCCCTATACCATGGCCAAAGTACATGAAATGCAACTCACCGTCATCACCTCTAAGGAACATTCAGACTGTACATCTTCCAAGATGGATTTGTTTGCTCTTCTGACAGTCCATGGTACTTTCAATATTCTTCACCAGTACCCCGATTCAGATGATTCAGTTCTCTGGTCTTCTTTATTCATTGTCCAGTTTTTACATGCATATGAGGTGATTGAAAATGCCATGGCCTGGGTCAAGCGCATGCGCCTTAGTCCTCACACGGACACCTTTGCTCTGTAACACTTTACAGAGGGCCTTTGCAGCAGTGCCCAAAGTAACATGTTGTTTGATTTCCTGACTGTTGCTTCCATGAGCATTGATTATGAAACCAAGGAAAATGAATTACATCTAGCAATAATTATATTAGAAATGACAAATAAGATATTTTTGAAATGTTTATTCATTATTTTTAAAGTCACAATAATTAACTAATTACAAGTTAATAAAATAACACATTATGGAAAAATAACCAAATTTTCCAAACACGCACACGCAAAAAAAAAAAAATCGCGTGGGAAGAGTGCCTCCATGGTACATTTTTATAAATCTCTTTAATACTCAGCTTAATAGAAGGCGGCTGGGTGTGTCTGTCATTTCAGCTCTAGAAAACTCCACTGCATTCTCCTGTAGGAGTAAGAGTCACCTGTGACAATACTGTCTCAATATTGTTATGAAAATCACATTGACCCACAGATGCCTGAAAAAACCACTGCCTTGTTTAACTATGTAGGGTGGGGGGATACCTCCCTGGTCTAATTGTAACCCCTTGCGTGGCTAAGGCCATTTTCAGAGAATCAGAATTCTCCCCTAGGGCTCAGCAGAGCCTCATAGACCTATTATAGCAGAGACGTTTCCTGGTCAGCAGGTTTTGTAGAAAGAAGATGAAAGATAAGCAGCTCAAAAATCATTATAAATAATTCATTGAACAAAGTTCCTTGTTTAAAGGAAACATCCAAACCCTTTGCCATGCAGTGGATTCAGACTCCTGGTGACTGTCAGAGTAACACTACCTCAGGGCCTCAGGCTGTGATATCTACGAAGGAGGCCTGGTGGCACACTACTTAAGCACTTAGCTGCTGCAGCTCCGTGAGAGAAAGACGTGGCCATCAGCTCCCATAAAGATTGTAACCTAAGAGACCCTATGGGGTGGGTGTACTCTGTCGCTAGGGCTGCTGGGAATTGGGATCAGCTTCGAGGGCACACAGCGACAGGACTCTTTATGGAAGCAGATTGCCACATCTTTCTCCCACAGAGCCACTGCTGGGGTCACACTCTCTGCCTTTTGGTTAGTGTTTTAACCATACCACCACTAGGGCTCCTTCCTTGTTTATAGATTAAAAGTGTTTTTCTTGTTATAAATAGTTGCCTTAGAGAATTCACTTCCTTGGATGACAACATTTCAGTGTCAGTGTTCCTATGTTCCACCCTACTTTTCCGAAAGAGTCACCCAGACTGGCTTTGTCACCAGTAGTGAATGAGCTTACTTACACATCTCACCACAGCCTTACCAACTTTGGATGTTTTCCCTGCTTTTTTTGTTATCGTTACAAATTTTTTAACTGGTGTGGCTTTTCAGCAAAGGTATTCAACAACATGTATTTACTGTGTGTGTTGTGCCAGGATTCAGATCTCTCCACCTCCCAGAGCTCAAAGTTGGGTGAGACAAGTACCAGCAGGAAGAGGCGTGTCTAACCCAGTGTTTGATTGAAAGAGGAGGGGCTAAAAGGAAGGGTTTCCTTGGTGGTGACAATTAACTCTTGAACTGATTGGTATCTGAAAGACAAGGTGGTTAGCTGTAGATTGAAATAAGAAAGGATGTCCAGAAAGAGGAACAAAGCATGTGAAGAAGCCCCAAAACAAGACCACACCACTGATGTAGCAGCTAGAAGGGAAGGAGAGAGGAGGAGGGGAGCGTGGGGAGCTGAGGTGCTGAGACCCGCCTGCTTCTTCCCAGGAGGGATTGTGCGAACTCAAACGCGACAGCAAATCAGTTTTCTGTGGAAACCCTTTCCAGGCCACAAGGCATCATAGGGCTCATCCCTGTGGTGGGATTAGGTTCTTGTAAGTACAATAAAGGTGAAATATTTGGACTGGAAAGAATTTCTGTAGACTTTAGAAATTATTTACAAACACAGTGCTTCTTTTAAGCTGGCTTTGGTGATACCGCTTGGACATCTTTTTTTCTTTTTTCTTGGTTTCAGGGTTCAAAAAGAATTCTTCGCTCCAATGAGATCATTCTTCCAGCTAGTGGGCTGGTAGAAACAGAGCTCCAGTTAACCTTCTCCCTTCAGGTAAGCAGCTACCAGGTCCTGGGCCACATGGCCAATCTAGCCCCAAAGCAGTGTTCTGTTCTGAAAATGGCCAAAGCAGCCACCACGGAGCCAGCTAAGTGTGGGTGCTAAGACTCACGCAGGCTGCTGAGAAGTGCACTAGCTTTCCTTTCTTCTGATAGCCATGTTAGTCATGGGCTGTGCCCACTTACCCTACCAACCTCAACCCCATCCGCTCTTAGTGACCCACAGCACGCGTGCACAAGTGCGCGGGCACACACACACACACACACACACGCATGCACACACACACCCGTGGAGTGCACCCCTGCAGTCTCATTTTCCGCCCCCATTGTAATCCTACCTCTCCCCTTTTCCTTATCCCTCCTGGTGTATTTATCTCACATCACAATTCCAATAGCCCAAATTGAAGCCCATGGACAAAATAGTAGATCTGATGGTCAGCAAAGAGGCAGTGTTCTGAACACATGTGGAAAGGATGCCTGTCACCAAGCCAAGTCAGATCTCTTTGACAGATAGGAGAAACAGAAGCCCAGATAGATTGTGTCCCCCTTCAGCAAAACAAATACCCACCCAGGATCCCCTTGCTTAGTAACCATACTTGGCTCTGTTTTGTACTTTGATAGTATCCTCATTTCCTTAAGCGAGATGCTAATAAGCTGCAGATCATGTTGCAAAGGAGGAAACGTTACAAGAACCGGACCATCCTGGGCTATAAGACCCTGGCTGTGGGACTCATCAACATGGCTGAGGTGAGAGGAGCTGTGGGTCTGTCATCCACTGGGCCCAGCCTTCAGAGCTCAGCCCATGACCTTTCTAGCCTTGTGGGGAGCTGTTTTCGTTTATTTTACAAATTAATTGTCTTACTGGAAATTCAGGTTCTACCTCTTTTTATCAAGGACTTGCTCTTGCACAAGAAATTTTTTCCTTTAACTTAAAAAAAATAATCCAAACTTATAAAAAGCAAGCTGTAAACTGTAAGAATAATATAAAGATTTCCCACATACTTCACCCAGATTCTTCAGTATGAGTCCTTTGGGAGCCCATTATTGGCATGATGCCCTATAATGGCATTTTATAACATCTTAATTTTGCAGAATGTTAATTTTTGTAAAACTCAGAATACTCTCCTTCCTTCCTGGGCACTGAGCCACCATGCAGATCAGAACATTTATATTGATAGAGTCTGACCATTTTAACACAGTCCCCTTTCAGAATTGGCTGAATATCTCAACAAGGACCTTCACAGGCCCAGGATGTAACATAGGCTCCCGTGTTGCATGGGGTTGTCCTGTCTCTCTAAGCCTTCAGTCTAGAACAGCCCCTTAGGTTTTCCTTCTCTTTCATGACCTCAACATTTTGTAAGAGTACAGACAGGCCGGTTACTTTAATGAATGTTCCTCAGTTTGGGTTTATCTGATGTCTTCTCAAGATTAGATTTTTAAGATTATGCATGTTTGACAGAATTACCAAGGAAGTAGTAATGTCCTGTTCTTCTCCATAAAAGACAGCAGGTGGCGCTCAATGCAGATTTGTTCCTTTACTGGTCATGCTGATTTGTATCTCTTGATTACTATGATAGTGAACTAGGTTCCTCCCACGTAAGTTAATTGACACATAGTTTACCCTTATTAATGAAAAAAATATTGTATGGGCAGACATTTTGAGACTGTAACTCTCCATTTCTTCATCCTACTTTCACCAACAAGTTTTAGCATCTGTCAGTGATTCACGGCCGAGTCCATATTGCCATTCTGGTGGCTAAACAATGGATGTCTAATTCCATCATTCCTCCTGCGTTCATTAAAGTTGGCTTTCTGTTGTAAGATGAGCTTTCCCTTCTCCTCCCTCATTTATTCATGGATTATTTGTATCTGTTATGGAACTTTGTTGTTGTTACGCACCATTGAGTTAGTTCCCACTCAACGCAATATAGGCTCTACAAAGAGCAACTGGTGGGTTTGAACCGCTGACCTTGGGGCTAGCAGTTCAGTGCTTATCCTACAGCGCTACACCAGGATTCCATTTGGGAACTATCATTGCTTATGCTCCCTCTGTTGGCCAAAGCTAGGAAATGGTTTGCACTCAACTGCCAACCTAAAGATTGGAGGTTTAAACCCTGACGCTGTGGGTTAATGCGCCAGACTGCAAAGACGTTTGAACTGCAAGGTCGGTGATTCAGGCTCACCAGCTGCTCCTTGGAAACCCTGTATAGGGTCGCTATGGGTCGGAATCGACTCAACGACACTTAACAACAACAACAACCCATATAATAGAAAAGGCCTCCCTATGTGCTTCCATTAAGATGACGGCCAAGAAAGCCCAAAGGGGCAGTTGTGTTTAGTAATGCATGTGGTCACCATGAGTTGCAGGTGTCTCGATGACATGACCTAGGCACTTTTTAAAGAAACAGCCAAGCCATGCCCTCCTGTCAGGATTGGTTAGAGAGTGTAGAGTAGAACTGCCCCAGAGGGTTTTCTTGGTTAGCCTCTTTATGGAAGCGGATTGCCAGACCTTTCTTCCTTGGTACCACTGAGTGGCTTCAAACCACCAGCCTTTAAGCTAGCAGTTGAATATAAACCATTTGCAACTCCCACAGACCTATGTACACACTCATGTATGCATGCACCTCTGTATCTATTTCCACATCTGTCTGTCTGAGTTCACATCAGTAACTTCAGTTCTAATCCAACACCTTAGGATCTTTTTTAGCCTTCCCCCTTTCCATAGAGTTGCTTATTTTGGCAGTTCTGTTGTTGTCGTTAAGTGCTGTTGAGTCAATTCTAACTCATAGCGACCCTATATAAGGTTTCCAAGGTTTCAGTCTTCTCTGGAACAGAAAGCCTTGTCTTTCTCCCATGGAGCAGCTGATGGGCTTGAACTGCAGACCTTGTAGTTCACAGTCTAGTGCTTGCTATACACCAGCCAAATCCCCTTAACCCTATTTAAAAGGGGGCCACAAATCAGTTTTAAAAAGCGTTTGAAAGTTGTACATTTGTAAATTAAATAAGACATTGAGAGCCTTGGTAAGCAAACTATGTGAGCAGTCCCAACCCATCTTTCTGTCATCCTCGGGCTTGTTACCACAGTGAGGGAAGGGCTAGGGAAGTGACTGAACACCATTTCTCCATATACTGTAGCTCCTTGTTACTAGACATGGTGACCACTACCTTCAGCCCCAGCCCCAGCAGCCTTGAACGTGAAATTCTTTGTGAGGACTTAGACTAAAATGCAGTCCTTGAGATGTGCAATCACTGTTAACCCCAGGCTTTGGTTGATATCTTTGAAGCACGTGGGCTTACCTAGTGACAGCCTTGTCTGAAGATAGTATTCAAGTAGGACCCTGAAGGCAATGAGAGGACAAGTAGCATGGATTTAGGCAATGATGAGAAAGAAAATGTCTTTTCAGAATACCATTACCATTGAGTTACAAACTCTTTTGTATGTATGAAGATGGACAACTTTGTGGACTTTTTGATAGTCATATGTATCTGTTGCCACCCTTTGACTTAAGGTGATGCAACACCCCAATGAGGGTGCTCTGGTGCTCGGCCTACACAGCAACGTGAAGGACGTCTCCGTGCCCGTGGCAGAAATAAAGATCTATTCCCTCTCCAGCCAGCCAATAGACCATGAAGGAATCAAATCCAAGCTGTCTGGTAAGATGTACGCAGTGCCTGGAGACCCTGTGGGCCACAAAGGGGGGCCGAGCCAGATCAGACAGTGTCCTAAATGTGCCTGGGAAAGAAATGTTCAGAGACCCCTGAAAATAAAACGTGGCTGGGCTGTGGGCCACTCCTCCCCAAGCAGTTTTTGCGCTAGAGTGGAGCCATCGTTCCAGCCCCTCCAAGTTCTTAGGCCAGGTCCTTCCACTGCATGGCCGTCTTACTAAGATGTCTGTCCCCAGATCGCTCTCCGGATATTGACAACTATTCCGAGGAAGAGGAAGAGAGCTTCTCATCAGAACAGGAAGGCAGCGACGACCCATTGCATGGGCAGGTAACCCCACACATGGCCCCTTAGGGAACCATCAGAAGAGTTAAGTCCAGACCCTTCCGAGCTTCCCAGCCTCACTCTGCCCACTCCCCACTTAGGACCTGTTCTATGAAGATGAGGACCTCCGGAAAGTAAAGAAGACCCGCAGGAAGCTGACCTCCACCTCTGCCATCACCAGGGTGAGCCTCATGGGCCTGGGATTTTCCATGGAGGGGCAGTGTGGGAGCCATGTAGTCAGACGGCTTGGGGGCCTTTTGAAGTCAAGCTTCTGACAGGCCTTTCTCGACATGTCAGAGCCAGTTAATTGGCAGGAATGTTAGATTCTTGAGACTACTTCCGGTTAGAAAAAAGGTAGAGAACCCCGGTTTCAATTTTGGAACAGATAATGTGTTTCTGAGACCTATCTCTCATTTCCAGGAGCTTGTGTCCCACTCTAGACTGTCCTCAAAGACCAAGCCCGTTCTCTGCAGGGGCTGCCCCATTTTCAATCATTTGATGAGCTTATCCAGAAATCACAGACCACAGTAGACTGTGGGTTTGGTCAGGTTTCGTTATGTTGGCTGTGGTTCTCACGTTAATGGAGTTGCTACCTTGGAATTGAATACCTCTAGATTATGTCTCCTGTATACGATTTCCTCAGAGTCACTATTTTGGGCTGAGAAGCTGAAGAACTGAACTCCTGGGTTAATTCTGACTGGCTCTGGCGTTCCTGAGTGGGGCTTAGACGTTTGAGGAGCTGTTGCGCTGAGAAAGTGCCAGCATTGTCCCCAGAGGGCTCCTGACCCTGAATTCCAGAGCAGCCTAGGGATCAGCCCCTGAGAGTAATTTCTCCTCAGTTTTGGCAGCTGAATATCAACCAGCCCCTCCAAATGGGTTGAGCCTAAGCCGGACATCCCACCACAAAATGCTGCTCTACTCCCACATCCGAGTGGTCACCAGGCTGACGTGCAAATTCCTCAAGCCCCGACCTTGATTTCCCCATCTAATCCATGGCTAAAAAGCAGGACAGCAGCTTCATTATTCTTGTGTGTCTCATCTGGATGGGCATCCAAAATGTCCAAGAAGAGGCATGTCAACAGATGAGCTTGGTACCTGGAAGGCAGGCCCTGGCACTGACCAGGGGAGAGCTGTAGGCCACTGGCTCTCATGCCGCCGCCACTGCTGCTCAGTTTCCTCTTTCCTGCTGTCACCAAGAAGAGGCCGGATTTCAGCCCGGGTACCTGTCCCCACTGTCACCCAGGCCCCCACCCTGAGCACTGCGAGCACTTGCCAGTCAGAGTTCTAGTCAGTTTTTTCGTTTGACCTCTTTCTGGTCACATGTGTTCTGTTCCTGCCAAGGACACATTGTTCTGTGCACACCAGGCAATTTGCTGTTCCCTGGATGCGTCTTACACATCTCTGTGACTGGGGACCCAAGTTGTTCTCTCTGCCTGGAGTGGAGTGCCCTTTCTTCAAAGGCCAGGCTCAGCCTTACTTTCCAGTTTATCATCTTCACGCCCAGGTGGTGAATCTGCCAAGAAGTACTTTCGACCACTCACAAGCTAGGCACTGCTCCTCCCAGTGTTGGAGGTGAGCCTGCTGGAGATAAGGCAGCTCGGCCAGGCCCTCAGGGTAGTCGGGGTCTAGTTACACAAACAAGTCTGAGCACCTGATGACATACAGTGGGATCTGTGCTCTAAGACAGAGCTCTGTCTGAGGGACAGCAGGGGCACTAAGGGCCGGCGCCCCACTGCCCAGGTGCGCCAGGAGAGCTTCATGGAGGAGATGCCGAAATGGGTTTTTTTTGTTCTGTTTTTTTCTTGAATGTTTTCCTGTGAGTTATGTGATAGTTTACATAGGAGAACATTAGTTTTACGTTCATCCTATCGCATATCGTTTCATTGCCATGGTTACAATCCCCTCCATGCATCATCAGCCATCCAAAGGGTATACCCTGCAAGCCTGCCCCCTGGTCATCAGCACACAGCCCCTCTCCCTCTCTGGGTCTAAAGTCCCCAGCTGCTCCATCTCTCCACGTCATGGTCTCTGCCTCCATCTCAGGCATCACTGCTTCTCTGGATAGGGTCCCACTCTCTGCTCTTCTCCCTTGGTGGTCCCAGGGACCTCCGCTTCTAGACTGCAAAGTTAATCATGCCCCTTCTTGCTGCAAAACATCTACCTTTAAGTTTCCAACCCTCACAATCAGTCCTGATAACAATTATTCACTATTGTATCACAAGAGACGTATCTGCATTTCCTTTCATCAGCCCCGCCTAGACAGATTGGATACTACTCAGTGGAGATTCTACCTTCCTCCATGCCCTCTGGATCTAGGTTCCCTCTTGAAAGCTTGTAAGCCAGAAGCCAGTTACTTCTTGCCTTTGTAGCCTCCCTCACCCCTCCATTTTGGGTAGCCAATGTCAAAGTTCCCATCCCCGTCTACTCTGTGTATGGAGGGGGTGGGAGTGATCCTTGCTGTAAAGATTTGTTCCCTCTTTTGAACTACTGCATCCATAGGTGTAGTTCAAGTTCATCAAATTATATCAGATTACTCTTTTTTTCCTCTTCTTTCTTGTTCTAGTTGAGCTCTCTCTGATCATCCAGTCATTGAAGCCAGGTGGAGTGGGTATTATCTGCAAGTGTGGGTGTTCTTGTGCAGATGCCTTTTCTTCTTATCAGCTGGATGCTTCACAAGAGTTACAGATAACTAGTTCTTCACTAGGTGGATCTGGGGGACCTTTTTATTCCAGTTGGAAGGTGGCATAGGGACAGGCCCAGAGGTTCAAAGCAGCATGCATGTTTTTCAAAGGACTCTAAGGTCATTTCCCCTCAAAGTCAGAATGTGTAGGGTTGGATAATGAGGTGAACCCCACAGACCAGCTTCCAAGCCTCACATAAGCTCTGATCTCCAGGCCCTGGAAGAGTTAGGGGGTCAGATTTGCATTTGGGGAGCACACTCTGGATTCTGGAGGGAAGACTGGAAACTGGAGGTGGATGGAAGAGGGTAGAATGTCAGCTGAAGACTGTGATGGTGATCACAGAGGTGTTCCAGGAGGAGGCCTAGAGGAGAGCAATTGGCGTTGCAGCCAGAACAAGAGAGGCCAGGAGTCCATAAACCCTGGGAGACAGGCTGCGTGGAGGGGAGAGAGCCCAGGCTTGAACTTGGTAGCTGAGCAGACGGGTGCCTTCATTCATCTGGAGAAGGAACTACAAGGAGGGTCTGGTGGGGAAGTACTGTGTTTGAGGTACCTGGGGGATTGGCAGGCAGATGTCACCTGCTGACGCTGTGAATTGAAGAAACAGATTTAGGAGGCATGGGCATGGGTGGTGTGGGTTCTGGGGCTGACGAAACCTCCTCCCTCCGTCTATGCCACAGCCCTAGGAACCACACAGGCCTTAAGTCCCTGCCTGGCTTTCCTGTTCTGTGTAAAGTGGACTCTTCTGTGTATGATTTGCTGAATGTGGGACTGACGATCTGTTTTGTAAACCTTCACTCAATTCACAATAAAAAGTTTTCTTTTTTTAAAGTGAATTTTTGTAATATTTTTTGGCTTGAACTGATCACTGTTTGCAAGTAAATGTGGTTTGAGAACAAGTATGCAATTTATACCTGCAGCAACCTAACATCAAACAGAAGTTTGTGGCCCTCCTGAAGCGATTTAAAGTCTCAGATGAGGTACGACTCCTTATTCCCAAGGGAGACGGTGAGTAGGATCCCAGGTTTTACCCTTGGCACCTGGGGGTGCTCTGTGTTGCCACTGAGAGCCAGAATTCCAGGGCTGTGATTCCTCCCCCACTTCACTTGCCAAGTGACCTCCCAGGAGCTGTTGACGGTAGCTGCAGAAAGGCTGTAAGCTACTTGAATGGTATTCCACGTTACTCGGGGTTCATGGTATTTGGAGATGTGGGTAGCCCAGTTTTTACCCACCTATTGGTGGTTACCCAGGCTTTCAATATGGAGTATCAATAGTGAGTCCAATTGTTTTTAGAAAATGTCCCCACCCTTGCCCCATTAAACATCAGTGAACAGGAGCCTGTGAGGTGGGCGTGTCCTCCATGGTCAGTCCTGAGTAGCCAAGAACTGACCGTTGTTTCTAGAGAAGCCTGGCATCAGTGCTCAAGGCTTGTCTTCTCAGTGGACTGAAAAGGGGGTGAGAGTGGACATTTCTCTGTCCATCAGTGATAGAAAAGCCCACACAAGGCCATGTGTGCCTAGACACAGCTTCTCTAGCACTGCCACTAAGTCCAGAGGGTGGTGGGCTCAGGAGGCACACTGAAGGGTGGCTGACCTCGCCACTCCCTGCTCTCAGGGTTGGATCACGGAAAGGGCATCGAGACCACCCCAGTGGGTGTGGTGACACTACAGCATGGGGGCATCGTAAGTCAGGAGAAACAAGCTGGGTGCCTCCCATCATCCTGAATAGGAAAAAGCTCAGATTCAAAGATGTCTTTGTTCCTCCAGGTGGGCTTCGGGCTGGAGCATGTTTCACGGGAGCAGATCCGGGAAGTAGAGGAGGACCTGGATGAGCTATATGACAGCCTAGAGATGTACAACCCCAGTGACAGCGGCCCTGAAATGGAGGAGACCGAGAGCATCCTGAGCACACCAAAGCCCAAGCTCAAGTGAGCCCACCTCCTGCGTCAGGTTATCACCCTGGTCACAAATGCACACGTGGAAAAATCTGCATGTAGAAAAATCTATGAAAGAGAGGGTCTGGGTCGGTGATTGGATTCAGGTGAGCTTTCAGGTTGGCGTTAGTGGTCAGGTTTGGGTCAGGCTCAGGTTCAGGTAAGACTTTATTTATTATACTGTAAGTGAAAGAATTTTTCTAGGTGCATATTTTTCTGTGTGCTTTTATGGCAGTGAAATTTTTCTGTGGACAATTTTCATGTGGTCTTCTTTTATGTGTACTTTTTTCGTAGAACCCAGTCCTTCCTAGGCCACCACGGTCTCCCAAAGTCCCCTCCTTCCCCTTCCTCTCAACTACTAGGGAATTCCAGTTGAAGCTCCAGCTGTCTGGACAGAGGTCATTGATTTTCCTCTAATGGACTAAAGTCCTAACAGGACACTCCTTTGAAGTCGTCTGGTCCAGGCCGTCTCTCCACCTGGAGCCCAGTTGTTGGTCTTTCTTGTTTTGAACCCCAGCTCCATCCGTCTCTCCAGGAGCTGCTGTGTGAGCACAGTGACCCTGACCTGCCTGTGCTTCTTCACCGTAGGCCCTTCTTTGAGGGAATGTCGCAGTCCAGCTCACAGACGGAGATCGGAAGTCTCAACAGCAAGGGTAGCCTCGGAAAAGACACCACCAGCCCTGTGAGCGAGACCGGGGGGGAGGGCATGGGGTGCTGTGAGCGAGACTGAGGGGCGGGCAGGGGGTGCTGTGAGCGAGACCGAGGGGCGGGCAGGGGGTGCTGTGAGCGAGACCGGGGGGCAGGCGAGGGGGTGCTGTGAGCAAGTCCCCAAGGGGCAGGGGGTGCTGTGAGCAAGACCTAGGGACGGGCAGGGGGTGCTGTGAGCGAGACCAAGGGGCAGTGGTTGTTGTGAGCAAGACCAGGGGTGGGGTTCTGTGAGCAAGTCCAGTGCTTGGGGGGGTAACCATGGGCAAGACCTGTGCTGGGGGTGCGATCCATGGGCAAGACTATGGGAGGACAGGAGGTAGAGAGGCTGTGAGCAAGACCGGTGCTATGGGTGGGGGGCTTCTAAGAAGAGTATTCTAGGGGGCCCATGGGCAGGACCAATGTTCTGGGAGGGTGGGGTGGGGGCTTTGAGCAGGACCAGAGCTGAGGTGGGTCCAGGTAGCGTTGGGCCTCTGTCTCTCTGACCAAGATTTACTCTGTGGCCTCAAAAAGTGGTCTCACCGCTGTCCTCATGAGTTCCAGCTGGAAACTTTGTTCTCCTAAGGCATTGCTGGATCTGCTCAGGTGGCCCCTCCCAGAACACACAGTGCCCCCAGAGCTCTCCCTGGGCGCTCAGGACCTGGTAACAAAGTGTGTGTGACATGCCTCCAGATCTGTCCAGGAGACTGTAGGGAGACTGTCAGCTGAAAGACTTTAGGATTTAATGGGCAGGTTTCTGTTTTGTGAGCAAGGAGGGAAAAGCACAGGCCTGGCAGGAAGACTGGGCTTGAATACCATCTGAGGGTTGCTGTTGGAAGCCCCCAGGGCTCTTCTGTAGATGGAGGAGCCTGAGTCTTCGACAGCATGTGTCACTGCAGCTTTGCTCTCAGGTGAAGCTGACAACATTTATTCACTAGCAGGCCACAGGCTCACCCTGAAAACAGGTGCCGGTTGTAAGGCATGATTTGAAGGGAGTGAGGCCCACTCTGTCGGTGAAAGGGCTGGAGTCTGCAAAACAGCCAGCTAGTGTGGACATCCCGTGGTTGCCTTACTATCTGTGGCCACCAGGTGGGGCTGTCTTACCTCTTATCACTGTTTAAAGGCTCAGAAGGGCATGTTGGGCCCACCAGATGCGGCCCTCAAGGTGTTAATGAGGAACCATATAATAAAAAACTGTCTCTGTGCTCTCAGCCACTTCCAGCCCAGTTGTACGGTAACCTGGAACGAGTCAGGCTCGCTTCCTGGACTGTATGTGTTTAGGATGCGGCTTGTAGCTCTTCCCTCTGTCAGCTTTTACATGATGGTCTCAGACAAACATACAGAAAAAGTACTGGGGGCAGAATGGGACTGGTTTGGGAGTTTATGCTCTGGAGGCAGACTTCTGAGTGTGAATCTCCACTCCACCACTCCACTTGCCTGTGTAGTCGTGGGCAAGCTACCAAGCCTTCTTGGTGTGCCTTACAAGGTAGTGTGTAGATGAGGGCGCGAGTGCAGGCAGACCCCTAGTGTGGCCCTTAATTGATGGGCTCCATGCCTGGTGAGCTTGGTGCCAGCATAAGCTGCTGTTGCCTTTATGATTATGTTTCCTCAGAGCCGTTTCAGATTTGAACTCCTGAAATTGATCAAAGCTAGATGTCTTTTTAGCCAGTCCTTCAAAGTCTGGCTCCATTGGCCAGATTTCAAACTCATTTTGCTGGTTCTCTGCTGATTTTCTATTTGGAAGAGCCCCATATGTTTGGATGTGGGTGTGCAGCTTTGGAATCCTTTCTCTGAAAAGCACTTTGGTAAATACAGAACAAGGCCGTGCTCTGCCGTGGAACAGCTCTCAACGCAGTAGAAAAGGAGCGTTGAGTGTACCTGCTGCATACGCATCTGCTGCCTCGGTGTCGTGTCCTTTTCCTCTCATTGCCTGCATTCAAAGTTATTTTCTTTCCTGTCACCTGCCTTTTTGTTCCTCAAGTTTTTGGAGGTTTCAGTTTACCACTAGAGCTGAAAGGAATTTGTGCTTATTGCAGTTGTTGAGTTCTCCCAGGAGCTGAACACACAGTAGCAGCAAAATGGGGTTTTCTGAGCTGTGATAGCAATAGGCCCTGCCAATTGGTACCAGCTCAGAAAACTCTCAGAGAGGGTGGCCAAGGAATACCGGCTTTCCATTGACACTGCCTGCCACTATTTCCACAGCACTATAAATAATGGAAAGAGGCCCTGCTGGTTAAAGTGCTTGACTGCTAAACTGATTGTTCCACGGTTCGAACCCACCAGCCACCCCGTGGGAGAAAGATGTGACTGTATGGCTTGATACAAATTCACAGTCTTGGAAATGGTCGGGGTAAATTCTACTCTGCCCTGTAGGCTTACCATGAGTTAGAATCTACTCAGTGGCAAGCAGTTGGTTTTGGGGGGAGTGCCAAACGAATAAACAAATCTAGAAGCAAGGGTGGCAAGAATGATCTCACATACTTTGGACATGTTATGAGAAGGGACCAGCTCTGAAGAAGGGATCGTGTTTGGTAAAGTAGAGGGTCAGCTAAAAAGAGAAAGACCCTCGGTGAGATGGACTGACAGGATGGCTACAATAATGAGCTCAAACACAGACTGACTATGAGGACAGCACAAAACTGGGTAGCGGTTCACTCTATTGCACATAAGCTTGCTGAGTTGCTAATGACTCAGTAGCACCTAACAGCAGCAATTTTCACATAATTGTAAATTTTCCTAATTCCGGTCTGTTGTTGGTTTCCGCATTCAATTCTATTGTGATTGAAGAGCATACTGGGAGGAAGGTGGGTATCCTTTATCTTCTCTGACTCCCATGTTCCCTACAAGAAACAAAGACACTCCCGGAAGCCTGAGCTCTCCAGCATCCAAAACTTGCCACTTTTGCAGACCCACACCTCGGCCCCAGCTGCTCTCGACTTTGACTTTGCTGTGTGTGTAGCCAGAAGTAATGTTGATAAATGTAAAGAATATGGTTATGTATCTGTATTTGTAAATTTTTAATACAAGTATTTACAAGATGTTGTTGTTGTTAAGTGCCACCGAGTCCGTTCTGACTCAGCGGCCCTGTATAGGGTTTCTCAGGAACAGCTGGTGCATTTGAACCACTGACCTTGTGATTCAAACGACCTTGTGGTTCAGTACTTTATCCCACAAAGCCACACCGGGACTTAACAGAAGATGCTAAGCAAAAAGTCATCCAATATTAAGCCACTTAAGGCATGAACTGATTCTCCATTTGTCCCTAACTCGTAAATGCAAGTCTTCTGTTAGAGAGTTTTCTGGATGTTTCCACCAAGCAAGAAGCATTTGGCTACCATAGATGCCTTTAGTCTCAGAATCAGAGGTCTGCACAGAATTTGCTTCTCAGCGACTTCTATAAGCCAAGCCTAACCTGTTACCGACAAGTCAGTTCCAACTCACAGCAACCCTACAGGTCAGAGTAGAGCTGACCAGAGGGTGTCCCAGGCTGAAATCTGTACAGAAGCAGAATGCCTCATCTTTCTCCTGCGGAGCAGCTGGTGTGTTCAAACCACCGACCTATCAGTCAGCAGCCAAAAGCTCTACCAGGGCATAGGACCCCCAGGTGGTCCTCCTAAACAAGGCTGCTTCCTGAGTCCAGGGTCAGAGGCTTTCTGTGGCAAAGCCCTCTAAACTCTGAGCATCTCTTCCTTAGTGACATCTTATTGGGTCAGAACTTCTGGATTCTGTTACTGACTTCATGATTATAAAAGTAACTTCCCTTTCAGTGTTTAGTTTTTTAAAAAATATATCCCTTTTGAGATAATTGCCACAAAGATTTTATGAGGTTGAAAATTAAGTGAAAATATTTTAAGACTTTTAAAGACCTGGAAAAGCAAGTAAGGGTGGTAGTTACTTGGATCAGTGATGACTAATAAATAATTAAACTTTGCAGATGGAATTGGCTGCTCTAGAAAAAATCAGATCTACTTGGATTAAGAACACAGATGACAGCTTGACTGAAACAGAGACTCTGGTATGTATGGCTGAGTCCCCTGCATCAGCTGTGTCCATCAGTGCCTGTACCTCTAGAAATAAAGGGAAACAAGGCTCAGGATCACCCCGGAAAGTTTGCCTGAACCTGCAGGCTTGTGAATGTTCTGCATTCTCTTTCTCCCCAAACCTTGACCCATGGAAGGTTACCCACCCTAGAGACCAGGTTAGGCCCTAAATTAGTAAAGCAGACGTGTTCCCATTTTGTCCTTTTGTTTGATTGGATCAAGCACTGTTTCAGATCGTTTCTTCCCGTCTGTCATTCTGATTTACATCTTCAAAACGACGCCCAGTGTGTTCCCTATCCAAGCTCTACCCCTCCTCCGGTGCTGTTCTCATCGTGGTCAGGAAACACACACAGGTCAATCTCGATGTGATTGTTGGTCAGTCAGCTCCTTCCTCTAAGAGACCCAGGACCTGCCCAGGACAGCAGGCTTGGCAGGCTGCCCACAGTGTCGCTGAGCTGCGTGCTGAGCCCTGAAGACGCTTGATGACTGTGTCCAGGTGTCCACCACCACTGAGCTCACACTCCGGGGAAAACCCGCCTCTACACACCTGGTGCCACACAGGCTCAGTGGGAGTCTGGGGAGTACCAATAGCGTCTTCCCATGGCCGGGGACACTTGACCTGGGCCTCCCAGGATACACCAAAGGTTTATGAGAAGGATGCAGTTGGTGGGAGGAGTCTACCATCTGGGGATGTGTATGTATCATTAACCCTTCTGCTAGTCCAGAAGAGCTCATGAAAGAAGGCTTGTAGCTTGATATTTCCTAGAAGGAACCCTGGTGGTGCCGTGGTTAGGCACTTGGTTCAAACCCACGGGCTGCTTTGCAGGAGAAAGATATGCTAGTCTGCTTTCATGAAGATGGCAGCCTTGGAAACCCTGTGGGGCAGTTCCTCTCTGTCCTCTAGGACTGCTGTCCGTCAGAATTGGTTTCCTATAGTAAAATCTAACAGTAACATCCAGCATACGACAAAAGACGTGGCTCGAGATGCCTGTAAAACTTACTGCTTATACTTTGCAGTTCAGTGACCTGAATACCCTAACCCCCACCCACTCCATCTTACCCCCCTTCGGCCCTGCTGCATGTGGCAGACACAGTCATTTCTTCAAGGTAAAGTCCCAATCTTATCGCTTCCTGCCTAAAACTGTCCAATACTTTTGCCCAAATCCGAGAGACATAACGTTGCGCAAAGGAAGTCAGACATAGAACGCATACCATCTGATTCCCCTTACGTGGAATTCATCAGCAGACCAAACTAATCTGTGATGACAGCAATCCCAGGATTTTTACCTCTCAGAGTGGGAACCAGAAGGAAGGGATACCCAGGAATCTTCCGTAACTTCATCTGGTTAATGATCAAAATGTCAAGCTACACATTTTTAGCATGTGCACTTTACTTTATGGGTGTTATTCCTCAGTAAAAATGTTAAAAATAGAAAGAGTGAGCAAAGGCAGGGAGGTATGAAGGTTCCTGGCATTTGTGAGCACTGTGGAGTGGTCTCCCCAGGGACTAGAGTTACAACGATCAGGAAATAGTGGGCCCGGAGGAGGACCTAGAAGTGACTAAGGTAGACTAGGGCCAGATCATTTGTTGTTGTTGGTAGGTGACATCAAGTTGGTACTGACTCATAGCAACCCTGTGCACATCATAACGAAACACTGCCCCATCCTGGGCCAACCCCACAACTGCTGCTACGCCTGAGCCCATCACTGCCACCACTGTGCCAACCCATCTTGTTGGGGTCTTTCTCTTTTTCTCTGACCCTCAACTCTACCAGACATGACATCCTTCTCCAGTGATTGGTCCCTCCTAATAATATGTCCGAAATATGAGAGATGAAGTCTGACCATCCTGGCTCCCAAGGAGCACTCTGGCTGTACTTCTTCCAGCACAGATCTGTTTGCTTTTTTGGCAGTCCATGGAACTTTTAATATTCTCCTCCAACACCATAACTCAATGCATCAATTCTTCTGGGGCCTGACATGCCACACTAAAGAATCAGGACTTCATCTAAGCAGGACAGAGCTGTCTGAGCAGTAGCATGATGTGCTGAGCTTTGTGTTTTAGGAAGACAAAGCGGGCATGAGCTGGCAGGGTGACTTGAGGAAGGGGAAATGAAGACTGTTGGAAGAGGTCTAGGGAAGAGACGCACATCTGGCTGGAAGGGGGACTGAGGCCTGGGGCAGACGTGGAGTACAGAGATAGGATCACACAGCATCAGTCTCTACATAGGGAGCAAGGGAGGCTTCAGAGTAAGCAGCTGCAGACATCACGTCTACCAGCCACAAGGGTACCCTGGTGAGGGGCTAAGAGATGCATCCAGGAGCCCTTCCCCTGTTCACCTAGAGAAGCGAGCTCGTCAGCCCATTGTGTGTTGGCACATATTTGTAGATGCTAAGGGCACAGTGGGTACACTGAGTCACAGTCCACAGTGACAGAGTCCTCAACTATCAAGGGAGGTGTTTTAGAGCCACACGCTACCAGGACAAGAGCACAACTGGATGACCCCTGTGACTGGTAGACCCTGGCAGGACTCATCGCGGCTCTTGGGCAGTCCTTGGTGAGCAGTAGCCTCATGTTTCTTTTCCTCTGGCAGGAGATCACTGATCAGGACATGTTTGGCGACGGAAGCACCAGTCTTATTGTTCCAGAAAAAGTGAAAACCCCCCTGAAGTCCAGCAAACCTGACCTCCAGGGCTCTGCCTCCCCCAGGTACTCAAAATCGGAAAGAAAGTCCTGAAAGGTAGGGAGGGGTGGGGACAAGTGAGCAGGTGACACAAGCCTATGACTGTATTCACCATGCACCCAACACAGACCCCATGGCCCGGGAAGGAGTGGGCTACAAGAGTTTAACCCTCCTCCTCCCATCTTGGCAGCAAAGTGGACATGGCCCACACACCCCGGCAGAAGAGGAGCACCCCCCTGAAGGAGCGACAGCTCTCCAAGCCCCTGAGCGAGAGGACTAACAGCTCTGACAGTGAGCGCTCGCCCGACCTGGGCCACAGCACACAGGTACCTCAGGGCCCCTGCCAGGGCCAGGACTCGGAGCCTCCTTCCCTGGACTGCACTTTCTGATTTGTCGTCTTCTTTGGACAGTTAGCTGGGTAGGAGAAGAGAAATATCATGAAACACGCTGAATAAAAAATCTTGAAGAAAGACCAAAATCAGACAAGTCTAATATATTTGTTACTTAACTGCTAGTGTTATTTAAGGAGCTCTGATAGCATGGTGTGTTGTGAGTTAGGCTGCAAGGTCAGCAGTTCGAATCTCCCAGCCTCTCTGTGGGAGAAAGATGAAGCTTTCTGCTCCTGTCAAGATTTACAGCCTTAGAAACTCTGTACAAGGTCGCTATGAGTCGGAACCGACTCCACGGCCCACCCCTACCACCCTTGTTAGTTACTTCAGTGCTGCATGGCAGGGAGCCAGGGCATCAGTCCACCCTCTGGTTCATCCTGCTTCCATCAGATGTGAGTCTGAAGACAGGATAGTAAGTTACTTGTTCCAGAGGGTGGTGTCATGGATTGGATTGTTTATCCCAAAAATATGTGTCAGCTCTTCTGGGCCATGATTCTCATTGGCAATTCCGTGATGATGTGATTACCCCTCGTGGTGTGATCTGCTGCAACCAGCCAGCCAATTTGTATGGGAATTAGGGTGGGATGCAACACCCTGACTCAGTCACAGCCTTGACCCCATGTAAGGAGAGTGTCCTGGGCGGTGGTGGCTTCATCACCTTTGCTCTTAAGTAAAAGGAGAAAGAAGCAGGCAGAAAAAGAGGGATCTGCCACCAAGAACGAAGACCTAGGTATAGAGTGTGTCCTTTGGACCCAGCGTCCTGAGACCCTCCTAGATCCAGGAAAAGATTGGTGTCAGGATGTGTGGCCATCTCCCAGGAGCTCTAGGCCCACAGATGGTGAAGGAGACAAGCCCGTCCCTCAGAACGGACACAGAGAAAGTCTCCCCTAGAGTTGGCACCTGAATTCAAACTTTTAGCCTCCTAAACTGTGAGAGAAAACATTTCTGTTTATTAAAGCCATCCGCTTATATTTCTGTTACAGCAATACTACATAACTGAGACAGAATCTGGTACCAGGCAGGAGTCAGGTGTAGCTCTAACAGATATTACTTAAAATGTGGGAGTGGTTTGGGAATTGGGTTATGGGTAGAGGCTGAAAGAATTTTCAGGGGCCTAATAGTAAAAGTCTAAATTGCTTTCAAGAGGCTGGTGATGGAATTATAGACATCAGAGGTAATTCTGGTGCGAGCTCAGATGAAATTAAGGAGAATTATAACACTGAAGTCAATGCAGATGGTGAGAAACAGGAGACCAGCATGGGAACCAACCCATGGAACGAGAGTGTCTTCAGGTGGGAGGCTTCCTACCAGTGGTGTGCCTCTGAACACTTGTTGATGGAACTAGGCTTGCCGATCCATGGAGCAAGAGAGCTGAGCACCTTCAAGCAGAGGTTTACTGGCGAAGTACTCCAGGCGCTTACTGGTAGAGTTGAGGAACTTTGTAGTACTTGCCCAAGCAAGGCAGGGAGGGACCAGTCGTGCCCAAGAGGCCAAGGAACCAAGAAGAAGCTGAAGGGATAAGAAAAATGGGAAGCAGGGTTGCCTCAGTCTCAAGATGTGAAACCATGACCTCTGGGACTTCAAGAGGTTAGGACTTAGCCTCCTGGGTTTCCAGGAGTCCAATCTTCACCAACTTGGTTCTGGAGGGTGGGGCCTGCCATTCATGAGTGCCAGGGGCGTGGGGCTAGAACCACTGCTAAAGCTTAAGCTTAAGAGATGCAGCTACCATGCCCACGAGGCAGCGGAACAGGGCCTGCTGAGACCCAGGGGTGCGATCCCCCCTTAGTTGGACTAGGAGAAATGCCAAAGAGTAGAATTGATATCCCAGTGGGTCTGGAAGGTGGAGTCAAAGCCCAGGGTCAAGAGGCCTCCCAGAATCCGGAGAGCATGACCAACACCCCGAGTCTGGAGGAACGAATCATTGCCTAGCTGTCTCAGAGAACAGAGGATGGTTTTCAGGCCCTGAAAGCCGCAGTCAGGTGGTGTGTTGCCTTTCAGACTTGCTTGAGGCTCGTCCCCTTCTTCCCGTCACTTTCTCCCATTTGTAATGGAAATACCTAACTGGTACCTGTTCCTCCATTGCACCTTAGAAGCAAATAACTTGTACAAGGGGCCTTCAAAGAATTCATGGAAAATTTCCACTATCTCTTTATTCCATTTTTTCCAAAAACTTTCGGATGCTCTCTCATAGTCTAAATTCACAAATGAAGAGTAATTTTGCCCCTGGGTAGAATTTGGACTTGTAATTAATCTAAGGATTTTTCGATGATACGATGTGGTGAGTCCTGGGGTGTGGTGCTGTGGGATAAGCACTCAACCTCAAGGTCCTTGGTTCAAATTTACCAGCTACTCCTCAGAAACCCTATACAGGGACACTCCGAGTCGGAAGCGACTCAATGGCACTAATCAGCAACAGCAATATGGTGAGAGTGTTTTGCTTGGTGTCAAAGACATGAGTTTTGTGGGGGGTCGAAGGGTAGACTGTTATGGATTGAATTGTATGCCCCCAATAATATTGTCACCTTGACTGGCTGGGCCGTGATTCTCAGTGATTTGGCAGTTGTGTAAGGATGTAATTTTTCTGTTACCTAATGATGTAATCATCCTCCATGATGTGATCTTATGAGATCAGCCAGTCAGTTGTTTGGGGATTAGGGTGGACTACAACACCCTTCCATCGGCCACAGACCTGACCCATAGAAGCGCAATTGTCCTGGGGTGTGGTTGCAGATAAAAGGAGAAAGAGGGACCTGACTGCCACCAAGAAAGAAGAGTTGAAGGCAGAGCGTGTCCTGTAGATCAGAGGTCCCAATATGAGAACCACCTTGATGACGGCAGTGTCACTGAGTCAGTTCCAACTCATAGTGACATTATGCGCAACAGAACGAAACGAAACACTGTATGATCCTGTGCCATCCTCACAATTGTTTTACACTTGAGCCTATTGCTACTGCCACTGTGCCAATCCATCTCATTGAGGGTCTTTCTCTTTTTGGCTGAACCTCCACTTTACCAAACATAATGTCCTTCTCTAGGTACTAGTCCCTCTTGATAACGTGTTCAAAATATGAGAGGTGAAGTCTAACCATCCTGGCTTCTAAGGAGCATTCTGGCTGTACTTTTTTCAACACAGATTTCTTTGTTCTTCTGACAGTCCGTGGTACTTTTAGTATTCTCCAACACCATAATTCAAAGGCATCAATTCTTCTACCGTCTTCCTTATTCACTCTCCAACTTTGACATTCATATGAGCCTATTTAAAATACCATGGCTTGGGTCAGGCGCACCTTAGTCCTCAAGATGACATCTTTGCTCTTGGACACTTTAAAGAGGTCTTGTGCAGCAAGACCTTGTTTGATTTCTTGACTGCTGCTGCCGTGAGTGAGTGTGGATAGTGGATTCCAGTAATTTAAATGGACAACTTCAATCTTTTCAAAATTATCATAACATTATTTATTGGTCCAGTGGTGAGGATTTTTGTTTTCTTTACATTGAGATGCCCCAAGGGCTGTGATCTTTCATCTTCATCAGTAAATGTTTTTTAAGTCCTCTTCACTTTCAGCAAGCAAGGTTGTATCATCTGCATAGCTCAGGTTGTTAATGAGTCTTCCTCCAATCCTGATGCCACATTTTTCTTCATAGAACCCAGCTTCTCAGATTATTTGCTCAGCATACAGATTGAATAAGTATGGTGAAAGAATACAACCCTGGCACACCCCTTCTTCTGTTCGAATGACTGCCTCTTGGTGTATGTGCAGGTTCCTCATGAGCACAATGAAGTGTTCTGGAATACCTGTTCTTTGCAGTGTTGTCTATAGCCTGTCACGGTCCACACAGTCGAAAGCATCTGCAAAGTTAATAAAGCACAGGCAAACATCTTTCTGGTATTCTCTGCTTTCAGTCAACCAAGATTCATCGGATGTCAGCAATTCTGTCCTTCATTCCATGTCCTCATCTGAAACCAACTTGACCCTCTGACGGTTCCCTGTCCGTGTCCTGTTGCAGCCATTTTTCAATTACTTTCAGCAACATTTTACTTGTATGCCATATAAATGATGATGTTTGATGATTTCTGCATTCTATTGGGTCACCTCTCTTTGAAATGGGCACAAATATGGATCTCGTCCAACCAGTTGGCCAGTAGCTATATTGGGTTTTTTGTTTTGTTTTTTTATATAGATGTGAGTACCTCCAGTGCTGCATCAGTTGGTTGAAAGATTTCAGTTGTATTCCATCAGTTCCCAGGGATTTGTTCTTTGCCAGTGTCTTCAGTGCATCTTGGACTTCTTCAATACCATTGGCTCTTCATCATATGCTAATTCTTGAAATGGTTGAACATCAGCCATTTCTTTTGTTTGGTACAATGTGTCTATATAGTCCTTCCATCTTCTTTTAATGCTTTCTGCATCATTCAGTATTTTCCCCACAGAATCCTTCCATATTCCAAGTTGAGGCTTGACTGTTTTCTTCAATTCTTTCATCTTGAGAAATGCTGAGTGTGTTCTTCCCTTTTGGTTTTCTAACTCCAGGCCTTTGCACATTCCATTGTAAATTTGACCTTGTCTTCTCGAGCTGCCATTTGAAATTTTCTGTTTTCAGCTCGTGTACCTGCTCATTTCTTACATTTTCTTTAGCATCTCTGTGCTGGAGAGTATGTTTCAGTCTCTTCTGACATCTGTTTTGGTCTTTTCCTTCTTTCTTGTCTTCTTAATGACCTTTTGCTTTCTTCCTATATGATGTTCTTGATGTCATCCCACAACTCTTCTGGTCATTGGTCAGCAGTGTCTAATGCATCAAATCTATTCTTGGGATGAACTCTAAACTCAGGTGAGATATGTTCAAAATCATATTTTGGTTCTGGTGGAATTGTTTTAATTTTCTTTAGCTTCAGCCTGAACTGAGCAATTGATGGCCTGTTATTCTGCCCTGGCCTTGTTTTGTCTGATGAGATTGAGCTTTTCCACCATCTCTCTTTACACAGATGTAGTCAGTTTGATTTCTGTGCATTCCATCTGGTGAGGTCCATGTGTATAGTCATTGTTTCAAAAAGGTATTTACAATGAAGAAGTCATTGGTCTTGCAAAATTCTGTCATGCGATCTCCAGCATCATTTCTATCACCAAGATCATATGTTCCAACTACTGATCCTTCCTCTTTGTTGCCAACCTTTGCATCCCCGTTACCAGTAATTATAGTATATCTTGACTGTATATGTTTGATCCAGTTTCAGGTAGAAGAAATTGGTAGCATTTTTCAATTTCATCATCACTGACTTTAGTGGTCGGTGTCTAAATTTGAATGATAATGGTCTTGACTAGTCTTTCTTGTAGGTGTATGGATATTATCCTATCACAGATAGCATTTTGAAATGCTCTTTTTGATGATGAATGCTACATCATTCCTCTTCAATTTGTCATTCCCAACATAGTAAGCCATATGATTTTCTGATTCAGAACGGCCAATACCGGTCAATTTCAGCTTACTAACCTTAGGATATTGATCTTTATGCGTTCCATTTCATTTTTGACAACTTCAAATTTTCCTAGATTCGTACTTTGTATATTCCATGTTCTGATTATTAATGGATGTTTGCAGCTGTTTCTCCTCATTTTCAGTTGTACTGCATCAGCAAATAAATGTCCCAAAAACTTTACTCCATTCATATCATCACAGTCAACTCTACTTTGAGACAGCTCTTACCCAGTCGTATTTTAGGTGCCTTCCAACGTGGGATGTGGGGTGGGGGTGCTCATCTTCCGACATTATGTCTGACAGTGTTCTCCTGCTATTCATAAGGTTCTCAGTGACTAGACATTCCAAAGTAGTATACTTCTCCTTCCTAGTCTAGAAGCTCTCCTGAAACCTGTCTATCATGGGTGACCCTACTGGTATCTAAAATACCAGTGACTTCGCTTCCAACATGACAACAACATGCAGGCCACAAGCCACTACAGTACGAAAACTGGCAGACAAGTAGTGGGAGAACCTCCTAGACCCAGGGAAATATCGGTGCCAAACACATGGAGATCTCCCAGAAGCACTGGGCGCATAGATGCTAAAAGGAGGCAAGGACCTTCCTCTAGAGCTGACCAAGAGGAAAAGCCTTCACAGACCTGGCACCCTGAGTTCAGACTTCCAGCACCCTAAAATGTGAGAGGATCCGTTTCTGTTTGTTGATCTAGCTGCTTGTGCTATTTCTATTACAGCAGCAGGAGCTAACAGAGACAGAGGGCAACCTTCAAAATCTCATTGGCCATCGTTGGCCTGAGTTTGGGTACCTTTAGTGCTGCTCTGAAGGAGCTCTGGTAGCGTAGTGGTTACAAATCGGGCTGCAAACCTTAAGGTCAGCGGTTCGAAACTACCAGCCGCTCCATGGGAGAAAGATGAGGCTTTCTACTCCCATAAAGATTTACACCCTCTGAAATCACATACAGGGTTACTATGGGTCGGAACCGACTCGGTAACAGCACTTAACAACAACAACAACAAGTGCTGCTCTGGGCCTGGTATTTGATTTCCAGCTGAGACATCAATGCCATCAAAACATTTGATTCGAAGCCTGGGCTGGAACAGATATACACAAGAAGTTGGGTCTTGGGAGACTTGTTCTCTTTTTGAAGGGCAGTGAGTGGTCTCAGGATGTGAGGAAGTAATGCTTCTAACCCAGCATATGTCACATAATTGTTGCTCTTCAAGAGTTGGGCAGCCAGGCTGTTCTTTTGCCTCATGAATATTATGGGGAAGAAAGTGTGTGTCGCTGTAGCTTCCTGATTCCGATGCTAGTACACAGCTGAAAATGAGCCAGAGACTAGAATAACCCAGCGCCTCCGGTGAGGTATTGTCCTTCTTGTTAATCATTATTCCTGAACTATCTTTTGTTCCATTTGACGGCAGGGTTCCCCCCACAGTGCCCATTTCCCTCTCATTATTTCTCTTCCCACTTGCCCTTGTTTCCAGCTCTCTGAGCACCTGTGTGTGGCTCTCGCCCTCCTTCTCCTCCGCATGGTCCTGCCTCGCCCTCCCCACAGGAGGTGTCCTGCCGCAGGGTCTGAGACAGCTGCTAGGCCTTTGTTCCTTATATACTCCTCCCTTCTCTGAGAGCCTTCTGGGTGTGTTCTCCATCCTCCTCCTTTCCACCGTGGGCTGCTGGTTCCCTTCACAAGCACTTGCTTCTCTGAATGCCCCTGCTCCACACACATACCCCACTTCTTCCTCAGTTTCCCCAGGGGTTTCCTGACAGACTCTTGTGTCCCTGCAGATTCCAAGGAAGGTGGTGTATGACCAACTGAATCAGATCCTGGTGTCAGATGCTGCCCTCCCAGAAAATGTCATCCTTGTGAACACCGCTGATTGGCAGGGTCAGGTAACAGTGATGGAGGTTACAGGGTGCAGAGGAGAGGTTTAGGAGGCAAAGACCCCCGGGATACTGGGTTAGAGTGGCGGTGTGTGGAAAATAGGAAAATAACCCCAGAGTCTCAGGCCCCATCCCACCCTGCACTGAGCCTGTAGCTGTGGGGCCTCATTCCAGTTCTGTTACCTCCCATCCCATGGGACTTTAAGTAGATCCTTTTCTGTACCTCACTGACGGTAATGCTATCCTGCCTATCTGGTGTGGTGCTGTAGGAGAGGCACTGAACTGCTATCCACAAGGTTGACAGTTCAAACCTACCAGCCATTTCTTGGAAACCCTTTACAGGGTCTCTATGAGTCGGAACTAACTTGATGGTGCTTCACAACACCTACAGGGTGGCTGTGTGTTGGCCAGTGTGATGGAAGGAAAAGACATTGAGAAGTAGAAAGAGTTTGGAAATGCCCAGGTTGCCCTCAGTGCCCTTGAGGACAGTGCAGCCTTGTCTGCCCCTCTCAACGTCCACCCAGTGAGATGCTGATGCTGGAGTACCTCGTCAGTGGCTCCAACACCTGAAGTACAGGCAGCAGAAGCGACATTAGAACTCAGACGTTCCCTAGCTTCCCGAGCCCCTTTCACACACAACCAGCATGTCATCTCTCTGTCTCCATGAGGAATGGTGTCCCTGCTGAGGGCCTCACCTTTGCTGTCGTCCCCTCCCCCCCCCCAGTACGTGGCAGAGCTGCTCCAAGACCAGCGGAAGCCCGTTGTGTGCACCTGCTCCACCGTGGAGGTCCAAGCCGTACTGTCAGCCCTGCTCACCCGCATCCAACGCTAGTAAGGACTGGGCTCCTCCCTGCCCTCAGGGCTTCCCTCTGGCCATATCCTCCCACCCTGATCACCAAGCAAGGACAGGGCCCCCTCTGCATCAGACCATGAAGCCGCAACTTGGGTGCTGTGCATTAATGCCCTGGAGACCCCAGAGGGTCAGTTACATCCCTGTCTGTCCACATCTCCCACACTGGGTCCCTGTGGCCCTTGACTGGCTTCATCCTCCTCTACACCCAAGAGCTGCCTTTTGCATAATAAATGCTGCTGCCCACTGGAGTCAACTGAATCCCACTCTTTTCCCCCCACTTCACCCCCACTCCGATAGTGGGACCAATGGCCCAGCCAACTCCTACCTCCTGGGTGGCATTGCCCAGGTGTCTTCCTGGGTCCTCGTCTAGCTGGGTCTCAGCTCAAAGACCTGCACTCTGATCCCAGTTTTTCTTTTCACTGAAAACGTACACTTGCTCGATTGCTTTTCTGTGTATGACTTTGTTCATTGGTTCAACCCCCTGTGGTTACTGAGATCAAGTCCAGTCAATGCTGGGAGCCCTCCTCCCAGTAGGGTCCTGAAGAAACTCAACATGGCACGCCCCTCCTCTTCCTCCTCAGCTGCAACTGCAACTCATCCATGCCACGGCCGGTGAAGGTGGCCGCGGTGGGAGGCCAGAGTTACCTGAGCTCCATCCTCCGCTTCTTCGTCAAATCCCTGGCCAGCAAGACCTCCGACTGGCTAAGCTACATGCGATTCCTCATCGTTCCCCTTGGTAAAGACTGAGGGGAGGGGGGGGCCTCCAGGAGGGCAGGGTATGTGCTAGGGTCTGGAGACAGGTCCTGCTTGCAGAGTCAGGAGAGCTGGGCAGGGCTGGGCATGACCGCTCTCCATCCCCCATGATCCAACTCAGCCTCTCTGCTGCTCCATCCACCAGGTTCTCATCCTGTAGCCAAATACCTGGGCTCAGTGGATAGCAGATACAGCAGTACCTTCCTTGATTCCAGCTGGAGAGACTTGTTCAGTCGCTCAGAGCCCCCCGTGGCAGGTAAGAGCCCCTTGTCCCAGAACTGCCCTCCCCACCACCTAGGAGTAAGGCGCAATGCCACTGGCTTCACCTGAGAGCCATCTGGGCCATGTTCTTCTGCTCCCTGTGGCTTGAACCCCATGACACTGTGCCCGCATACTTTGCACTACGTGTATGTGGTGTAGAGGCATGTGTCCGCAGCAGCCCTTCCACTGTGGCCATTTCTGGTCCCTGCTGTGTGCCGCAGTCCTGCAGTCCAAAATGGGGAGGGCAGCTCGTTGTAGAGGTCAGTGTAGAAGCTGAGAGGAGTCACTAAGCAGTGGATTGACAAACAAGTGGCACTATACCAACCATATCTTCTGAGGCCCAGAAGAAAGGTGATGCGCTGAAGGAGGTACTGGCCCCGAGCAGGTGGATGCAACCCAGGACAGGCAGGAAGCAGTGGGCACAGAAATCGAAGCAGGGCCAGCCTGCCTAGGAGCAGGGATGGGGCACGGGAAGACAGCGCTCTGGCTCCTGGCTCCTTAGAGTCGTGGGACTCTGTTCTTCCCTGCAACTGCTCAGCTGAAGGGGCTCTGAAAGGACTAGGGAATTTTCTCAGCTCTTATATTGTCTGCAGAGCAACTGGACGTGGTGGGACGTGTGATGCAGTACGTCAACGGGGCGAGTGTGACACACCAGCTCCCCGTGGCTGAAGCCATGCTGACCTGCAGGCATAAGTTGTAAGTGTGACTTTGGGAATTTCTCCAAAGCAGAGTAGGTGGGTTCTGTGGCTCTTGAATTTCTTTTGCTTTTTCACGTTTCCCTTCTCCCACGCATTTCCTTTCCTAGGATCCCAAGAGAGTGAATGTGTGTGAGTGAGTGTGAGAATGTGTGGGTGTGTCTGTATGACTGTGTGTGCTAGGTGTGGTGTGTAAAGGAGTGTGTGTGCTACCCGTGGGTGTGAGAGAATGTGTTAGTGGATATGAGTGATTAGTATTTTTACTGCCTCCCGCCCAGGCCTTCCCTTCCTTGTCCTGATCATCCTCACCTGTCTTGGTACCCCCACCCCCACCCTCAGTACCAGCTGATGACTGAGGTGGGCACCAGGGAGTGTAGTTTGCGTCATTGGGGCTTTGGCCTCTGTTTGGAGTGCCCCGTCTATACAATAAGTAGTAGACCTCCCAGACCCCGCAAGCTGTGATAAGACACTGTAAATGGTATCTGGACTCCTTGGAGGTCACAGGATTGTATGCAACCCTATTTCCCAGCATTCCCTAGTTGCCACAGCCAATAGTACAGCTTTCCTTTCTCTCCCACCAGCCCTGACGAAGACTCCTATCAGAAGTTTATCCCCTTCATCGGCGTGAGTACTGACTCCCCTCCATTTTTATCCCACCCATCCACCTACACTCGCCCACCAAGACAGTACATAGGATTTATTTAGAACAGTGATTCTCAATCAAGGACGATTCTGCATCCCCAGGGACATTTGGCAATGTCTGGAGATATTCTTGGTGGTCACAGCTGGTGCTCCTGACATCCAATATGTAGAGGCCAGTGATGCTGCTAAACATCCTACAGTGCACAGGCCAATCCCAACACCAGAGCATTATCCTGCCCCAAATGGCAGTGGTGCTAAGTTTGAGACACCCGGGCCTGGGAAAGCTAGTAGACCATCCCTGTCAGCATTCTCCTTCCCCAAGCCCTCAACAACCCCTCAGGTTCAACGTTTCCTCACTACTGTCTCATATTTACCACCATACTGAACCTGGCACACTGGCAGGTTAGCTTCTGCGTGTTCCAGGGGCAAGGAAGTTGACCCAGAAATAAGAGAGAGGGGTAGCTCTCTGACTTTAGGGTGAGACTGAGCACCAGGAGGATGGGCCTCATCTTTCCTCTTCCATTTCATCAAGGAACAATCTGGACACTAATGGATTTTGAAAATAATTTTCACTAAGGAGACAGAATGATAAGGAAAAGCTGCTTCTAAGTCTTTTGGGTCAGGTGGTACTAGCTTTGATCTGTGTAGAAATGGCCCAGTGGCCTCAGAGAATCAGGATCAGCTTCAACAGCCAACCATTTCCCAGTTCTGACACCACTCATCCCTCTGTGGGACACTCTGCTCCTCTGCTGCGTTTGATCATTTGTTGCAAGGCCACGCAGAACTCACAGGCCAGATTCCCAATCAGAGGGTTCTTTAGGGAAGTAACAGGTTACAGTTTAGGGTTAGAAACTTAGAATACAGTTGTTTGGTCCAGACAGCTTCTTGGCTGTGCCCACAGGCAGGCTTCTTCCAGGACTCCTCAGACCCTTGGCCCCTCAAGCCAGTCTAGCTGCTGCCCTGCTTGGTCAAGTCACAAAGCTCTGTAGCCTAGAAGCACCCCATTCGGCCAGTAAGCCTTGGTGAGAAGACACAGCTTCCTCGCTCTGTATGCAGCAGCCCTACCAGACCCTGTCATGCCATCCCCTGGCATTGCTGCTGCCAGTTCCCTCATGCTTACCACCACTTCCCATCTTGTAGCGTCTCCGGTTACAGCTCTTTCTCTCTCTGGCTCCTGATTCTAGGGGATTCTCAGCTTAAGGACCACAGACCAAAGGACAGCCCTCCTCCCAGCTCTTCTGTTTTGGCAGTAGTGAGGTTATCCCCTTTCTGTCTCTGGGATGGCTCATTTTAAGCCTAGCAGGTTGGCAAAACTGACCAGTTCTCTCATTAGGGCTCTAGATACCTTATTTGTATGGTCCCATCTGCTGTAGCACTGGATTGCTCACCTCAAGGTCAGCAGTTCAAACTCACCACCTGCTCCTCAAAAACCCTCTCAGGGTCAGAACTAACTCAGTGACATTTACCAACAACCCCCACGAGAGCGCCATGCACCGTGTCCATATTACTGTCAGATTCTCCAGTCACCGTAGCTCTCTGCACAGTACATGGCAAGAAAGGCCTTATCAAAGTGACCCATGGCACTGGAGTCTGTTTCCCTGGAGGGCCGCCAGCGTGGACTGGCTGGGAAAGGAGCCCAGAGGATGCGGAAGTGGCCAGTCCTGTCCGGTCAGAAGCACAGCGCCCACGGTGGTGCCATATACGTCCAAATGGTTCCCTATTTGTTTCCTTTTCTACACTCTCTTTAAGGATCCCTCAAAGCTTCTGGGGGATGTGCAGATGGGGGCGTGGGCTTCCTGCTAGCCCACTTTTCTGCATACACACAACTCTGCATGTCTTAAGTGCTCTTGGGAGATGTAGCTTGGCAGCCTTTCAGCCTGGAGGTCCAGTCAGCTCCGGTTTGCCTCTGGTGCTGCTTCTCTGGCCGTAGTTGTCTAGCTCAGCTCACACCTTCACACAGCTCTGGCCTTGCAGCTAAGAGGGAGAGATAGAGATTTAAAATGAAAAGGGGCAGCCGCACACACACTGCCAGGAGAGACCAGGGAAAGGGAGGTCGTAGCTAAGAAGCCCCAGAATGTCTGCTTGTTGCTCTATGAAAACCAAAAGCAGACAGACGACAGTGAGGGGCGGCGTTGTGCCCTTGGCAATCCCCGTGGGATCCTTCTGTGGTTAGGCATGTGGACTCCACTCCTCCCAAGTCCCGGAGGCCAGCTTCTCTGACCCCCAGCTCACCTGTCACCCAAAATCACAGCAGCCAAGTCTGTCTCTAGCACTGTCCTTTATTTGACCACCAGGGGTCCCCATCTGCCCCTTCCAGAATTCTCTTTGTTCTTAAGTGCCATCAGGTCGGTTTCCGAGGAGTGGCTGGCTGGTGGGTTTGAACTGCCCACTTCGTGGTTCAAATTGGCCTTGCAGTCCAGTGCATTATCCTGCAGCACTACAACAGAATTCTCTATTTTCTGTTGTTGTTAAGTGCTGTTGAGTCAGTTCCAACTCAGAGACCAGAGGAGTGGCTGATGAATTGAACTGCCAACAGGGACTATAAAATTCTTATGGGAAGCTGAAATTCAGAGGGAACTTGGGTCCCCTCTCCCCACTCTTGTCCAGACTCCAGACTCTAGGAAGCGTCTTCATCTGCTGTTTGGGTGGCTCCATGCAGCAGCATTGTCCTAACAGTCATGAAAGGATTCCGGGGCTTTCTCTCAGGGACACTTAATTTCTCTCTCTGACCTGAGCAGATGGCCCACCTGTGGTGATCCTGGAGAAATGAGGTCTGGAGTCTCAGATGTTTCCAGATTCCCAAGTGGGCTTTGCCCTTGTCCCCGGAGAAGAACTGTCGAGGTTCAAGGGTCCCACTTCATTTACTGAAGCAGAACTGTTTTTTTTTTCCAATTTTCTTCAAGATCAGGGCTGCTCCAGATTTGGAAAGATTTCTAAAAGCCCATGATAAAATTCTGTGCAATTGTCAGTGTCTGACAGGATCAGAGCTTGAGCCCCTGTGAAAGGGGTACCTCATGCCTATGTCTCTTCCCTTCTCCAGGTGGTGAAGGTGGGTCTGGTGGAGGACTCTCCGTCAACGACAGGTGAGCCTGAAGACACCTCTCCTCTTCCTCCTCTCTTCAGTGTGACCCAGGTCAGAATGGAAGGCTTGGGATGTCCTAGAAATTAGAGTGGGAACAGGAAGAACTTGGGCAGCTTCAATCCCCTCTGGAGTGATGCAGGAGGGGTGGGAAGGTATCTAAGGACCTAGGCAGAAAAGCAAGATCTCGGAGGGTCAGGGTGAGCTTCCTTGGGCCGACTCTGTTTGTCCCCTACCAGGTGATGGGGATGACTCACCTGTGGTCAGCCTGACAGTGCCCTCTACATCACCGCCATCCAGCTCGGGCCTGAGCCGGGATACCACAGCCACCCCTCCTTCCTCCCCATCCATGAGCAGCGCCCTCGCCGTCATGGGGTAAGGTTCCCTCGGGGGGGCTGCCTTTCTGCCAGACCCATCGCCTGGGGCCCAGAACCACATGGAGTCCCTTGCTGCCCACAGCCACGTACGCAAGGGCTTTAAAAAAGCGTCTGGGTGCGAGCGCTGCAGGTAGAACCCAGAGCCGCCCATCTGAGTCTCACTGTCAGAAGGCTGGGTGAGACCTTACTGGTGGAGAGACCCTCTGTCTACCGGAAGGTGCCGGTGAGTGTCTCGTGTAACTGCCTGTGAGGAAGACAGGCCTGAATTCTGGAATCAGACACACCTGGATTCCAGTCCTGGCTCTGCCTGGGTTACCTGTGTGCAGGTTTCTTTAAACTTCAACTATTGCATTCCTCCCTGTCTCTCAGTACCTTCATCTTTCCTCTGACAACCTCCCTCTTGTATATTGCCTACATATTAACATGTGGATATCCTCTAACCTGTGGATAATTTTCCCTCCCCCTTAACCGCCTTAGCCATCATAGAATGTTTCTTTTAGCAAGAAAACCTTTTCTTAACTTTCACAACAGTGGTCTCATACAACATTTGTCCTTTTGTGATTGACTGATTTCACGCAGCATAACGTCCTCCATGTTGTGAGGTGTTACGCAGATTCATCGATATTCTTCAGTGTTACATAGTATTCTGTTGTGTGTATGACCAAAGCTTGTTTAACCATTTAGGCTGTCTCCATCTTTTTGACATTGTGAAAAGTGCGGTAATGAACATGCGTGTGCAGAGATCTATACAAGTCACAGCTCTTATTTCTTGAGGATATATACCAACCAGAAAGGATTACTGGGTCATTTGGTAATTCTATTTCCAGCTTCTTTGCTGTTTTTCCCTCACTTCCCCTTATTGGTGATGCACGTGGTCACCAATCAGAGCTGTATTCCCATTGAGTCTTAGTCTTGTCTTGGAAGGGGGTTTGTCCTGAGGGGACCCAACTACTTACCTTGATGTCTCCTGGGCGAGCAACTTGCTTGTTCTTGTAATTAGTCAGACTGCTGTTATTATTTTGTATTTTGCCTGTCAGTCTTTCTTTCAAGGAGCATCTTCTGTTCTTCTAGTCGCTCCAGGTTGGTCTGCTTGTCCTTTCAAGTGGAAACTTCCCACCTCAGAAGATTCTGGGTGAGGTTCAAGATTCCACCTATGGTCTTTCATAAGCAGAAAGCCTCCCTCACTGGGGCTTGTAGTAGTGTTTTGTAGATTTCTTTATATAGATCTTTTGTTTCTCTGGTTAGATTTATCCCCAAGTATTTCATATTTTGGGTGTCGTTGTAAACTTGTAAATGGTATTGTTTTCCTGATTTCCTTTTCAGAGCTCTCTGTATTAGTATAAAGGAATACAACTGATTTTCGTATGCTGATCTTTTACCTGCCACTTTTCCAAATCTATCAATGAGTTCCAATAATATTCTTGCTGAGCTTTGGAATTGTCTTAAGTATAGGATCATATTTGCAAATAGAGTTTTACTTCTTCTTTGCCAATTTGGATGCCTTTGGTTTCCCTTTCATACCTTTTAGTTCTGAGTAAGACTTCCAACACAATATTGAATAGGAGTGGTGGTAAAGGGCATCCTTGTTTGGTTCCTGTTCTCAAGAGGAATAGCTTCAGTTTCTCACTATTACGGTGATGTTGACTATTTATTTTGTATGTTATTGCTGCTTTGAAGTACCCTTAGTCAGTTTCAACTCAAAGTGACCCTGTATAGGGTTTCCAAGGAGCAGCTGGTGGATTCGAACTACTGACCTAGCAGTTAACAGACCAACACATAGGAATTTCCATACTGTTCATATTGTATTAAGTGTTTCTATCAGGAATGAATGTTGGATTTTTTTCAAATGCTTTTTCTACATTGATTGATATGATCATATGATTCCCCCCCCCCTTTTTTTTTTTTTTTTATTTTAACTTTTAAAATCTAACACTGGGCATTGAAAAATATATTATTTTTTATTTTTTTTTGAAATTTACGTGGTGGATTACGTTGTCTTATCTAGTACGGAACCATCCCTGGATACCTAGTATGAATCCCACTTGGTCATGATGTATTATTTTTCTGATTGTTGGCTTTTCTTGGCTAGGATTTCGTTGAGAATTTTTGCATCTGTGTTCAATGAGGGATGCTGCTACTGCATGCTGTTGAGTTGGTTCTGATTCATATTGACCCTGGATAGGGTTTCCGAGACTGCAAATCTTTCTCTCATGGAGCTGCTGGTGGATTCAAACTGCTGACGTTTCAGTTAACCGCCCACTACTCCTCCTGAAGGATTGTTGTTGTGGTTAGGTGCCATTGAGTCAGCACCGACTCATAGCGACCCTATGCACAACAGAATGAAACACTGCTCGGTCCTGGGCCAACCTCACAATTGTTGCCACACTTGACCCCATTGATGCTGCCACTTTACCAGTCCATCTCACTGGGGGTCTTCCTCTTTTTCTCTGACCCTCCACCTTACCAAACATGATATCCTTCTCCAGCAACCGGTGTCTCCTGACAGTATATCTGAAGTATGAGAGAAGTTTGGCCATCCTGGCCTCCAAGGAGCACTCTGGCTGCACTTCTTCCAAAAATGGATCTATTGGTTCTTTTGACAGCCCAAGGTACTTTCAATATTCTCCTCCAACACCATAACTCAAAAGCATCAATTCTTCTGTGGTCTTCCTTATTCACTGTCCAGCTTTCACATGCATATGAGGTTATTGAAAATACCATGGCTTGGGTCAGGTGCACCTTAGTCCTCAA